TATTGTAGACAAGCGCAGACCACTATTAATTTATGTGAACAGGTAGTTTTAGACAATAAACTGAGTTTATTTAATTAATATTGAGTATTGGCCAGCTAACTGATGGCATACAAAATTGTTATTTTCTCTGCCAACTAAACCAAAGTCACAGAACCATTGTGTGACTGACTCGCAGCAGGCGTATAGAGTGGTGTATCATTCCTGAATGAATCAGAGTCTTTGAAAAACCCATTATTATAGACAACAATACAATTACCAATTATTATAGACAGCCACTTGATTTTATTCCTAAATGAATGAATGAAGCATTTTGAACGAATTTATTGAATAAAAGTCTCCTTTATTAACACAATGACTTACCGCCACCTAGTGGCGATATTACTTTCATAATTCAAGTATCATTTCATTTTATTCATATCTCTGTATTAAAAATGTTGTATAAAACAATCTCATTTCATTATACATTTATAATTGCTGTGTAAATGCACGTACAGCCGTCTGATCAGCATTAAACTATAAATACATCTAAAAGCATCTTCAGATGCAGGTTCTATATCACTGAATACTGATTTAAAGGGGTCATATGATGCGATTTCAATTTTTCCTTTCTCTTTGGAGTGTTACAAGCTCTTGGTGCAAAAGATGACATACAAAGGGTAAAAAAAATAAAAAGTAAATAAATAAATAAACTGAAAATCAGTTGCCCCTTATGGGAAAGTTAATTTCTGACACTGGCTTATTGTTCGAAGTGTTATTTCAGGGTTTGGATATGTAATAACTCAAACGAGTTCACCTTCAAATCATGACGTCAAATTCACATTTCTCTAAATTCAATCACTGAAACAAGCACTCTGACGAACAAATAGTCCCATGCCAGTGGGACAACAACATATGATTTCCTAAATTTCTAGAAAGTGCTCTATGAATAAAACTCAAAAAATAAAAAAAAATAGATGTGTTGTGAAGGTAAATTACACAAAGTCATTTCTTTTCATATCTGTCATATTATTTAAGTTCTTCCTTTGTCTAAAACGCAGCATATTGTCTAAAACAAAAGTTATGACTGTATGTTCACATAAATTGATAGTGGTCTGCGCTTCACTACAATACATTCTCCCCGCACTGCAGTGCGTCGCGCAGCTTTGCCACACAGAGGTAAATTACACAGTCATTTCTTTTCATATCTGTCATATTAGACTACTAAAACGCAGCGTATTGTCTAACCCAAAAGTTATGACTGTATGTTCACATAAATGGATAGTGGTCTGTGCTTCACTACAATACATTCTCCCCGCGCTGCAGTGTGTTGCGCAGCTTTGCCACACAGATTTTGATAGTTAGCTATAATAGATCAGGCGGTGAAATCAATAGAAGCGGAGGACTATTATTGTGTTTTTTGTTTTTTTTAGGACTATTATTATGTTGTAATGTTTGGTTGACCAATCAGCGGAGAGGGGCGTTTCATTCCCGCCCACATGTAGAGATCGAATATTCAAGTTGCTTATTCGTTTTCTATCCCTGAACGTAAAAACGAAAAATTAAGCCAAATTATGGATTTTTCAGTTTGTTTGAACAAATGAAAAACGAAAAATGTGCCTTTTTTTTTTTTCATTTTTCAGATTTCAATATTCTATTAAAAAACGAATGATCGG